TATGGGGGGGCAGGTCGGGCTGACAACCCTGGAGAATGGCTCGGACGCCCCCCGCCAGGCGACTAAATGTCCGCACAGCGCCCGCGGCCGGCCGGTGCACCCTCTGAAAGGGGAGTCTCGCCGCTGGCCGAGCGACGGAAAGCCGATAAGCTGCCAACAAATGGGCCCCTTTGATACCAGAGCGCGCGGGGGCATCTTATCTCGCTCGGATTCAATGTAAAGCTGCAGCAAACAGCGCGGCTCGGCGCCGCGCGCGTGTAATCGGACGCAATCTCCCAAATCCTCGTCTCCGCCGCATCTCGGACCGGCAGCTTTGTGCGGCGAGCTGCAGGGCGCCGCGACGCCCTCACTCTCGAGCGCGCGCCAATGGCGGCCAATTTGGCGAGAGCGGAGCGGTGCGGCGGCGCCTTCTGTCATCTTCCGCCCGGGCTTCCACTCAAGGCGCTCGGCCCTCGCGACTGAGGACGCCGAAGGATTGGAAAAGCTTCGCGGTGAACGCTCACCGAGAGGTTTCCGCTGCGCATTATTGGGACGCTCCGAGGGAGATGAGATACTCGGCTCCGTGGACGCCCGACGGGTGTCAACACGACGTCACGATACCTCACCGTGCGTCATATGAACTTCCGTGGAAACCGCCGTCCATGGATATACTCCTGTCTGGTGTTGTCCTCGTGCCCACCTCGGCTGCGTCACCCGTTGCCAAATATCGTCCCCAAGTTGTAACATATAACGCCACAGAGAAGGACGCCGCAGCAGCTCCTACGGCTTTGAGTAGTCGCTAGGTGTTTTTGCTTGTGCTTGATGTAGATACTTATGATGTCATAGGTGGCAGCCTCAGATAGGACCCTGCCGATGAAAGACGCGGCCCAGACATCTTTTCCGCGCGCAGGCACGGCCAGAATGCGAAGCATGAACGCGCTCGTGCAGCGCGTCCCCCAGCGCGGCGCGCGGGGCAGCCGCCTGCTCGGCTGCGGAGCGCCCGGCGTCGTCCCGGCCGGTGCCGTCCGCGGGCGGCGGGTCAGTGGCGCCACCACCGGTGACCGCAGGCGTCAGGCGGCCGCCGCCGCCGCTGTTGCAGCGGTGCTCCGGCCGGCCGACAGGTTTCCCAAGGCCTGCCGGCCGGTGCTGCATACGGCGCGGCCGGGCCGGTTTAAAGGTCAGGCCGGACGCCGCGCTCTGCCGGACGGGGAGTGGCGCCGGCCGAGCGGCGCGTGCCACGGCAGGGCGGCTGAGAGGGACGCTGCGGTCGACGCCGGCAGCCGGCGGGCTTTGATGACGGGCCGGGTGGCTGGCTTAGCCAGCGGCGGCGGGCCCTATGAACTGCCGTGAGAGGGCCAGGTAGGGCTCCCACCAGTGGCTATCAAAGTGGTCTTTGAAGCGTTATGCCTCCCTTATCATGGAATCAGAATACACAAATTTGGATGCATGCAATCATCGGCATAAGAAGTTGAGGCCCATACCCCTATCTGAGCTTGTATATTGGTCACAATTTGTAATTATATGGAGGTGCCTACTCCACAAATATTACGATTTGCGAATATTGTGTACATCTCATCACACTACATAAGCATGCAGATGTCAAACGTCACAGGCAAACATGTAAAGCATTTCTCTCAAGTTATTTCCATTGAGTAAGTCCATTACATGAACTGCGAGACCGAAATCGCTGTATTACCACAGGCTGCAAGACCCATTGGCTCCCTTCCCAGTACGGCCGCATCCGTCACTGGTAAGCAGAACCCAGGTTTCTCTCACCGCATCACCTCTTCCGCGAAGCGCCGCATGGAGGCCATCCAGCCTCCGCGCTCCGGTATGGTTCGCGTGACGTCACGACCGCTGAGTCACGTGCCCGACCGCGGCGTGCCGTCACGCCGCCAAGGTGCTGCCTGCAGCCAGCTGTCGCTCGGCTGCGGGCAGCGTCAGGGCGGGAAGCTGTCCCGGGAGGCTGTCCTCGGGACCGGAAAACCACCCGGTATCGCCTGTGCTGGCGCCAGTTTCCTTCAGATGTCGTGGCGTTCTGAATCACGGCCGGAGATACCTGTCCTGACCTCCGCCGCCGCTCGCGTGCCGCCGAGCTTCATGAAGCTGTCCTGGGCGCGGCACCGACGCCGCGCCGCACCGCAGCACGCCGTCCTAGTCAGCAGCAGCAGCAGCGCGGCGCACCGCCCCAGTCAGCAGTCGCACTGCAGCACACCGTCCCAGTCAGCAGTCGCACCGCGGTACACCGCCCCAGTCAGCAGTCGCACCGCAGCACACCGTCCCAGTCAGCAGTCGCACCGCAGTATACCATCCCAGTCAGCAGCAGCACCTCAGCATACCGCCCCAGTCAGCAGCAGCACCTCGGCATAACGCCCCATGTCAGCAGTCACACCGCAGCACACCGTCCCAGTCAGCAACCACTTCCGCCACAGGGGCATTGTCTCCATACAAGAGGCAAGACCATCACAAGGCCGCTCGGACACAGTAGCTATTATCCGAAGCATCGCGAACTTCCGCCCTTTGTGGCGCGGGCGAAACCAGACCCTTCTTGTGCCTTGCTGTCTGTTTCACAATCTTTAGGCCTGTAAACGTCGCAAAAATCGCCGGTCTCTTTCATTCGCGGAAGACGACTGTTTTTGCCCATTGGAGCCTTTTTAATTGGATTACTGTGGCGGCATTGTTGCCTCATGACTTACTGCTCGCCTTTGTATGCACTGCTATGGTGTAATGCAGTGTAGTTATGTAAGAAATGACATGATAGCTAGGCCCTAGCGTCCCACCCAAAAGTCATCATGATAAAATTCACTCGCTTGCAAGAGAAATTCCTCTCACCACCTCAGCCACACTGACGCCGCCAAGTGACCGGCGGGGCCGCCAGCCCAGACGCAATCGCCACCTCCAGCGCTACCGAGCCGTCGCTGCGTCACGCAACGCGGCCATTCCGGGGGAACGATCGCGCGCGATCAGGTCTCGACCGACGGTTCATAAATCTCCCGTCTGACGGCGCCGGCGCCTCGGGCCCGGCCGCCGGCGGCGCGGATGCCTGCGCCGCCATCCAGAGCCGGGCAGCGCGCCCGACGAGGCGCGCCAGCGCACGCACTGCTCGACATGACGGGCCGCCGCCGGCGGCCCTCATGTCGAGCGGAACGCGAGTCGGCCGCGGCGCGCGGCGTTTGACCCGCGCGCCGCTCCTTCATCATTATGGCATAATCAGCGTTTGATTGTCGCCGGCCGCGCGGCGACTCGCGCCCCGGCCGGCGACAGGTCAGGGGGCGGCGAGTGAAACAAAACAGAGGTCGGGCGCGGGTCAGGGCTGCCGCGACGGGCGGCGCCGAGGAGCGGCCGACGTCGCCGCCGCCGCCGCCGGGGCGCGTCCTCCGTAGAAGACAGCTCAGCAGCGTCGCCGCTGAGATCCGCGTTGGACCGCAAAAAGCACGGTGAAAGCACGTCGGAGGGCGCTCGTCAGTGCAGCCTGAGCGACGGCTCTATGGAGCGGCACGGACAGGCGACGGCAAGGCATTCCGCAGCCGTGACGTCACGGTCATGACGTCACGGCCCGGTGACGGAGCGTTCGGATGCGCCACGCGTCACGGCCGCGCTGATTCAGCGGAAATGAGCGGCGATAAGTTGACCCGCCGTTCCGTATTGGGCTCACCGTCCGTCGCGGTTATTTCGGAGAATGAGCCGTGGATAACGTGACTGCACGCTCCAACCGTCCTAGTCACTCCTTAATTGTCAATCTCGGAGAATGCGGTCACTGACGCGTCGGCGTAAACAAAGGACTCGGAAGACTTTCTCCGAGTTTCCGTGACGCCGCGTGACCGAATTTTGCGTCTGAGAGGGAACGGACCGGAAAAGACCAGTGTGGATCGCCTATCAGAATGGAGCGATGACCGGGAGAATGGGAGAATGACTGCCGTGCTCACGTTCAGGTGTCGGGGGTTCGGTGCCACCTCGTTCGTCACCACCGCGGCTCAGTTTGAAGTGGGTGGGCGATTAAGGTCATCCGCTGGATGGGTGCATTCTGCGGATGCAATTACCGATGGTGAGCGCGGATTTCTTCTTGTTTCTTCTGCATTTCCCATCCCCGTCATGCCTGTGATCTTGTCATTGAAGAGATAGGGCTGAGTGTCATGGAGATAACAAACGTTATCGTTAAACTGTTTTCGGAAAAGTCGCTTTGATCGTGCAGTTTTAACATGAGGGAGTGACTAGCGCACTGAAAATCGTCCTATCGCCCAGTTTGTTTCTGCATTAACTTATAAACAAACTAATTGGGTTTGCTGCGACTGCGGACATAAGCCTTGTTCACACTGTGAACCTCTGCCGCCATCGTCTGGCTCTGCCTCGCAGACCAACACTACCAGACCAGCCAGCGTAGCGTCTTCCCCCCTTGGCCGGGTCCACGGCGCCGCCCCTGACTGGGCTACCGCGGGAGCGTCCGGGCGCGGTGCGCCCTCGGCCGGGCTCTGATCAGTGGCCGATCGGGGCGCGTCGTTAGCGTGCAGGGCCGGGCCCATTCCGCGCAGCCAGTCAGTCAGGTGGCCGCCGATAACGCCGCTCGTTAGGCGGCGGAGGCCCGGCCCGCTCCTCGGACCGGACTGGGGTACGGCTGGCGGCCGGAGACCCCGCTCCGGGCCACGCCTCCGGCTGGGCAGGTATCGGGGCAGCGGAGCGAGCGGGAGCCAGCGCCGAGCGGCTGCGCTCGGATGACGTGCTCAGGAGCGATTTGGAATCGACTCGGAAGATGAGGTGTGATTGGGACTGGGTTTTGAGGAGGCTTAAGTATAGACGTAAAGCGTAAAAATTTAATCAAGTCGCAAGTTTCCGTGTTCTGGATCTATGGACATCCGACACGGCTTGAAAGCTCACTAAAGGACTCTGTCCCGCCTGAGCTCGCGTGTTGCCCACTGCTGTGTGTCGAATACCCCACACTTGACACATGTCGATGACCCCACACTTGACAGACCAACATCAGCCGACATCAGGCCTGTGCCTGACCCGACTCTTCCCGCCCGCAGGCGCCATGTTGACCTCAGGCCAGCGGCCGGGCGACGGCAACGTGGACGTGATGGAGGGACAGGACGCCGTGCTGCAGTGCCGCTTCGACCCGGCGCTGGCGGATGGCGACGACGTTTCCTTCTACTGGAGCCACAAGAACATCCGCGAGTGGGACACGGTCGCCATCCAGAAGGACCTCTTCCGGGAGCGATACAGGTGAGACATCCGCCCCTCCCCACCGCCACGTGATGAAGACCTGGCTAACGGTACGCGACGTGCCCAGCCTACAAGAGCACATGATGGATCGGAGCGTATGATAATGCGTGATTAAAGCACGCGCTATTTGTGATTCGTCTTGTGATTTGAATTTCGTACGGGCAGTGCTTCTATTACTGACGGCCGATAGCTGTTCGTGTTGTAGCGGTCATTTCTCTTGATCGTCTCGCGGTCAAAACAGCTCCATATTTATACGCGGGCGGGATGCTAACGCACTTGACCTAATCAGACGCCCGCGCCGAGGAGGCAAAACTCGCATTACATCTCCATTAATCACCGGCCTGCAGACGCGTCTCTCCGAGCGGCGCTGGTAACTTGTTACCGCTGCGCGTGACTGTCAGGTGCGCCGGCCTGCGCGGGATCACGTGGATCACGGATCACCGGCCTGCACCGGATCACGTGGTTGGCCGACCCTGGCGCTCCGCCGGCCCTTCGCCCGGCGCACGGGCGCCTCTCGGGAGCAGCCCGCGCCGTCGTGTCCAGTCTCCTTGTATTGCACTCCTCCCTGGTCTCTGTTTACGTGCGGCGATAAACCACTCGCCGCTATTGTCCGGCGGCCACCCCGCCGGTCTGCGTGGCTGCGGCGCGTGTTTGTCTGCCAGGACGACAAACCACAGCGTCTGGTCGTGCATAGCACGTGACAGAGCCTGTAGCGGGACCCGAGGACGCCCGGATGTGACGGCGGTGCGTCGGCTCCTTTGATCGGACTGACTGGCACGTGGCGAGGTCGGCCGGCGACCGCCGATAGTGTGCTGTGCGCGACTGCAGTCTCCGTCGGGCGCGCGCGGTCCTCGGCGCCGCTATTTCGTCGGCGAGAGTTGCATCGGACGTGTGCCGTGGCATTACGCAAGCAGAGTCCTTTCATAGCAAATGACTGACCCTAGGCGGGCGTTCATTTTGCATGGTTGTCAATGCGCTGCCAACCGTCAATGTACATCATCAGATAACGAGATGTCATTATCATTCATCATTAGATGTATGCGATGCACATACTAGCTATGCACATACCTAGCCGATCGAATCAGATTTACAACTTACTCACCATGCCTTTCATGACTCGTGTTCATCCAACACGGCCGGCGTACTCGTTCGTGCCTCCACCCGATCGCTGCTCTATGCCTGGCTCCGAGATCCGTTACGGTTTTCGAAGGGCGTCGTTCCCATACAGAGCCCACGGGGGGCAATGAGTCCGGATAGTGAGCCTGCTATCAGCACGCTGAGATGCTGGACTTCCCGCCGCGTCGGCGGCGGGGGATTAAACACCCCACCGATTGACCGGAGCACCAGCCACCCGCCAAGTCGCAGCGCCCGAGCTGACTCGTCCGCCGCTCGTAATTGGGCGGCGAATGGGGCGGGGAAATGTGCAGCGGACGACCGGGAGCGTGAGCCTCGGAGGCCGGCAGAAATGGCGGCACCATGCGGGACTGCGACGCCAAAGGCAGACCACGCTGCGCTCCGGGTGGGTTTGACTGGCGCGCGGTCATGTCACATGCTATCTCAGGAATGTTTGAAAACGCCGGGACAGGGTGGGTGGACGGAGGGAGGGGCGGCAGGGGAGGGGGGGGGGACTGGTCCTGTGGCAGCGTCAGCGGGCAGCCGCACAAACAGCAGTGACGCTCTCCCCGGGGCACCCGCCGCCGCTGAGCCGCCTCCGTACGGTTTGTCGTAAACTCGCCACCGTTGTTTTCGGCCCGCGCGCGGCCCCACAAAACACTGCACCAAGATTATGCCAGCGCGGCGGGGGCCGGGCGGCCTCCGCCAGCCGGCCAGGTGTGTGCGTGCGCGCGCACACGCGTCCTCGGGCGGCGGCACCGTGTTTGCGCTGGGCCGGCGCGGATTCTTTGTCTTCCGTCCGGCGGGGGAGGGCAGGAGCGACGGAGGGGTGCAGGGGAAGGGGTGCCGGCGGTTCCTCTGCTCCAGCGACGGGGAGTCGTCCGGCGGCTCACCTGGGGCGTCCCCCTCCGTCCGGCCGGGCCAAATTACGACCGTGGCCGGCACACCGGCCGCAGCGGTCATATCTGATTATACACCCCGGCAGGGCCGGAGACCCGGCCCGCAAAAAAGCCGGTCCCTCATGTAAACCGACCGGCTCCCAATTTGATGGTGTGTGGGGTTGATTTCGGAACGGTCCGGGTCTGTTTAGTTAGGGATACTAAAGAATTAGCCATGGCCTTTTTGTGGGGCCTATTAGGCAGACATCGTATCTATATGAGTATATATTCCGGTGTCTCCCTTTCAAATTCACTTTTGTCTCGTCAGCGGGTTTTGCTCGCACTCCTGTGGGGACTCTTCTCGCCAAGACGCCTCTTGGCTCGCAGGGGTCGCCCGGTGTACAGGACATGGACCAGAGCGCGTGCGGCGGTGCTGCCACCTAGCCACGAGCTGTGCGGCAGAGTACAGTTAGCCCAGCCTGCGCGACAGGCGGCCACACCTAGATAACATTCGGGCGACACCTGAGCCAGGGCAGGCCCGTGCCGGCCGGGACAGCAAGCGGGGCCTGTCCGGTCTACTCCGCTCTGGTCCGCTCGGGTCCGGTCCGTCCCGGTTTGGTCTGCTCGGGTCCGGTCTGCCCCGGTTCGTTCCGCCCGCTCTGCGGCCTTCCTGTCCACAATGGATCCGTCCGATCTGGTTTCCTCCGCCCCGCTTCCCCTCGCTCTCGGTCACCTCCAAGTCAGCTCTGCTCAGTCCAGTTCGTCCTAGTCCGGTTTACCCTGAGTCTGTTCTCGCGTGCTCCGCTCCGCTTGGTTTGGTCTGTCTCATTTCCCTCCCGTCCGTCCCAGTCCGCTCTGCCGTCGGCGGTGCTCTGCAGTCGGGTCCGATCAGGTGCGGTCTCCTCTGGTACTCTGCGGTCGGGTCCGATCAGAGACGATCTCTAGTGCTCTGCAGTCGGATCCGATCGGATGCGGTCTCCTCTGGTGCTCTGCAGTCGGATCCGATCAGAGGACGATCTCTGGTGCTCTGCAGTCGGGTTTCGATCTCATGCGGTCTCCCCTGGTGCTCTGCAGTCGGGTTCGATCTCATGTGGTCTCCCCTGGTGCTCTGCGGTCCGCTCCCGCTCGGTTCGCAGGCCGGCACTGACACCGTCCCACCTTGAGCCGTCGGCTGCCAGTCTCAGCGCGGCGGCGCCCGTCGTAGCCTGACCTTCGCGCGCCTGCCAGAGCTGTGCAAAGCGACGCTCGGTGCCGAGCACTCGTGCACTTAATCAGAGCACAAGGCCGCCCGGAAATACTCTGGACCGGCCGAAATGGTGCTGTACCCGCCGACGTGCCGCCCCTCACCAACACGAAAATGATTAAGGCACTCGTAAAAAACACTCTCGTAATCATGGACGGATAATGCGGTATGCGCTGGGCGTGGCGGTAGCCCCGCGAACCCTTAATTGTAATTAGCGCTGTTTGAGATTCTTTAATTAATGCTCCCCACTCCGGCCACTCCACGACATAATTTTGTCTCAACATTCTCTACCCGTGGGCTGTATGCCCTCATGAACGCCCCGTTTGAGGGAGTCCGCTCAACACCGTGCTGTATGCTCTCGCGCGTGCCGAGTCGACGGAAGCGTTGGGGAACAGTCTCTGGCGCCGCCGACTGAGAACTGCGGGTGGAAGGCATGCGGCTGTTGAGGCCAGCCGGTGTCCGTGGCCGGGAAGAGGGGTTTGTCCGGCCAGTGTCCGTGACTCGGCTGAGAGTTGTCCGCCCGGTTACTGTGGCTCGGGTGGAGGTTTGTCCGGCCGGTGACTGTGGCTTGGCTGGAGGTTTGTCCGGCTGTGGCTTGGCCGGGGGTTTGTCCGGCCGGTGACTGTGGCTCGGCTGGAGGTTTGTCCGGCCTGTGGCTGTGGCTCGGCTGGGAGTTTGTCCGGCCGGTGGCACGTGCGCGGTGGCTGGCGCGATCTGTGGTGGCGGCAGGTCTATGCGGCAGGCCACCCACCATTGCCAGTCTCATCACGACCCAACCAGCATAACGAGGGCTGATCACGGACATCGCAGACTTGGCCTCTACGTCTCTGTCAAACGGCATTAATTCCTGTTCTACCCGACATCCGCCCCTCACGGTCCCATCTCCCTGTCTTCCTCATCATTCTTTGCCTCTCTGGCTTTCTTCCCTTTCTTTCTCTCTCTTCCTCTCTTCCCCCTCTCTCCTTCTCCCGTTCCATCCTCCTACCCATCCTCTCTCTCCCTCTGCCTTCGAGCGGCCAGCGACAAGCCGGCGGGAAGTGCTCCCTCCACTCCGACGGCGTATCTGATCAGTGATCTCATCACGGACGACGACACGACATTCGCATTAGCCGCCGCGCTCGCCAGGCATCGGCCAGACTCGCTCCGTCGCCTCCATCGAGTACTAATGGCGGTTTTTGGAAGGGAAAACGCGCTGACATCCCGCGTTTGTCTCCGAGAAGCCATTAGTTTGTCTGGCCGGTCGGTCCTCACCGTTTGCTAATCAGCGTCTTTTATTTCGGGCTAGGCTATATGTGGGCTTCCTTTCACCGCCATCACTTTTTACCTGCTTGCACAGCGTCCGCCATCGACAATCGTCTGCTGTCGTTCTGTACCGGGCCTGAATGGAGTCCGCCATGCGGGGGAGGGAGGAGAGGGGGTGGCAGGCAGGGCGGAGGAGGGTGACGCGGTCACCGCATGCGGGTGCTCAATTCGGCAAGCTGCGCTGCGGGCGCCACGCCCGCCTCTGTCATCGACTCCGGCGGGCCGGTTGGTAAAACCGCAAGGTCAACGCAGATCCGTCCTCCGGGGGTTACATGCAGAGATAATTCTTCGCAAGAACATGAGTTTAGAAGCGGTGCAGCCGTTCGATTCCCTCATGACATCATGCAGACAATAGCAGTGTCCATATAGTGTGCGAATGACATCATGTCAATGTCATGTAAGTGCCCTACCGAGGAAAAGCAACATCATGTAGCAACTGAAACGTGGCATCATATCTTCTCTGACGTCACAATGGTCTTAGCGGCCGACGACGACCTGCTGTGACACCGCTCCCTTACCCGCAGCGTGGACGCGAATCCGGTGGAGGGCCGCTACGACCTCACCATCACGTCGGCCACCTACGAGAACGACAACGGCCAGTTCGTGTGCAAGGTGCGGCGCGTCGGCAGCGGCACCGACCTGCACACGGAGAAGGTGTCGCTGACGGTGCTGATGCCGCCGAACCCGCCGACAATCGGCTCGGAGGCGTCCGAGCCGCTGGAGGAGGGCCGACCGGCGCCGCTGTCCTGCAGCTCGGACGGCGGCAGCCCGCCGCCCGAGATCCGCTGGTACCGGCGCGGCTCGAGCACGCCGCTGCCGGCCGAGCTGACGCTGGCCGAGGACCGCTCGCAGCCGACCGTGTCTCGGCTGACGCTGGAGCCCACGCGCGAGGACAACGGCGAGCAGCTCGAGTGCGTCGTCTGGAACCGCGCCATGGCCGAGGGCGAGCGACTGCGCGCCGTCACCGACCTCAACGTCAATTGTGAGTGCGCCGGCCACGCGGGTGGACCTCATGCCGCGGGGCGGGAGGGGGGGGGGGGGGGAGGCTACTCTGAGGTTCGTGATACCGCACGGCCGACACACCGCTGGCTTATCCCGAAGGACGTCACGGATATCAGTCCAGCCTGACAGCGCAGCTCGCGTGGCTGATGCGGATCTGCGGTGACACGTGTCCGAAGTGATGGGCGTCGGCGCTGAGATGTGTCTGTTTTAAACGATTCAGTCCGAACCGTTCGATTGGACGCATGCCTAGGATCAGAGCTCTCGCTGACAGGTTGAAGGTCCGTTTGACAGGCGTATGTCGTGTGACTGTTGGACAAACACGTGAGCCCGCTGATCACTCATCCCATCGAGCACCCCTCCAAGACGCAACTCATAGCGCGAACACCACGCTGACGCATCCACCCCCTCTGTCCACGCGCCACGCTCCCGCCCCCGCCCGTCATGTGCAGCAGCATTTCTCCGCGGCTGCGGTGTCCAGCCGCGCCCGCCGCCGTCGCTATCGGACCATCAGGCGCCGCGGGGTCGCGTCCCGCCCGTTCGTGAGGTGACCGGCCTGGCCGGAAAGGCCTGTCTCCGCCCGCCGGCCGCCGGCGACTTAATCCAAGGCTGATCTGGCTGGCGGTGCTACCGCGGCACTGTTTTTGCGGCCGCAGGGGCGGCACGCTCCAGCGCGACCCGTCATTTGTCGGCCGTCTCCTCTGCGGGCGTCCCGCGGTGGAACCACTTTGTTCGGGTCGCCGGCGGCCGACGCCTCTGCATGCTGCCGTGGCCGGCGCATGCGTGGAGCGGGCTGGCTCGCTGCGGATGTCCGCGGCAGCGGCCGCCTGCGCCAGCTCCGTACGAGTCACGACTGCGTCTCAGGGGTCACACGCAATCTCGCCGTTGGCTGCGTGATATGCGTCAGACACGCACTTGGGGATCTTCTGGCGGGGAGCATACGCGACCCGTTCGGAGAGACGCGCACCACCGGCCGCGGTGCGTGGGCCGGCCTGCAGCTTCCTCTTCCTGCTCTTCCTCATCGTTTCCTCCAGCCCCGCTCGCCGTGAGCGTCCGCCAGGCCCGGCGGCGGCGTCACTACGCCGCTCGTTTGTAGGTCGAGTCGGCCGCTCCGCCCGCCGTCCGGAGCCGACTAATTAATGAGGATGATGCTGCCAAACCGGCCGATCCCACACAAAGGACGTGCTGAAGAAGACCGGCACTTAGCGTTTTTGCTTGAGTGACCGCACAAAGCGCTGCTTTCGGCGGCTAACACGGGCGCCCCGGCGACGCCCTTTGTCGTTTCGGGCGTTCATTTGTCAGCCGGCGGGCGCCGGGGACTCCACGTGCAGTCCGCGTCCCGAGAGGGCGCCGGGCGTGGAAGCTGGCCGCCTTAGCTGTCCCCAGGAGGCAGAGTACCTGAGATCGGAGGGCATCAGGCGGGTTCACGGCTCTTCTCGGCTCTCAGAGCCGTCGCCATCCCGCACCAACTGGAGGGCAGACTCGCATCGGTTGGTTCAGCAAGCCACCCGTCTTTCCTGTCCTTCAGCCTTCTTGCTTTTCAATACAACCCAGACGGACCATCTCAGTCACAATTCTGTTTCACAGCTTACAGTTCACAGCTCAGATGACGTCACCGACTCGTGACACTCGACCGTGATCGTGTCAGATCGTCCCGTGACCCTGTCAACCTGTCCTGTGACCGTGTTAGACCGTCCCGTGACCGTGTCAGACCGTCCCGTGACCGTGTCAACCTGTCCTGCGACCGTGTCAGACCGTCCCGTGACCGTGTCAGACCGTCCCGTGACCGTGTCAGACCGTCCCATGACCTTGTCCACCCTGTTCGGCTGTCTCGTGTCCCGACTGTGACCGTGTCCTCCGTGTCCGACAGACTACCCGCGCATCGAGGTCGGGCCGGACAACCCGCTGCGCGTCGAGATGGGCCGCTCGGTGCAGCTGCAGTGCCGCGTCGACGCCAAGCCGGCCGTGACCAACGTGCGCTGGATCCGCAACAACGCCTTCGTCGGCACCGACTACACGCTGGCGCTGGAGGACATCGGCGTCGACGACGCCGGCGCCTACACGTGCAGCGCGGAGAACGCCGTGGCCGAGGAGAAGCAGGACCTGACTCTGGACGTGCTGTACGCGCCGAACGTGCGCGTGCGGCCCGAGCGCGAGGTGCCCGAGGGCGGCAGCGTGCAGGTGCTCTGCGAGGTGGATGCCAACCCGCAGGCGCAGCACGTCTACTGGCTTCGCGAGGGCGAGCCGGAGTTCCGGCAGGACGGCGCCACACTGCGCCTCAGTCGCGTCTCGGCTGTCGACAACGGGGAGTACGTCTGCGTGGCCGTCAACCACGTGCTGAGTGTGGGCATGACGGAGCCGGAGGAGCGCGTAGGCAACGCCACCACACGCATCTTGATCCGGCACGCGCCAGGTCAGGCTGTCATCTCGCCCGAGGAGCCGGTGGGCGTGGAGGGCCGCTCGCTGACGCTGAACTGCGCCGCTCGGCCGCCGGGCCACCCGACGCCCAAGTACCGTTGGTGGCGTGCCGACCGGCCCGACACCCCTCTCGGCTTCGGCGCGAACCTGACCTTGGACGGGGTGCAGGCGCGCCACGCCGGGCAGTACCTCTGTGAGCCGGAGAACGAGCTGGGACGTGGCGCGGCCGCCGCCGTCGAAGTGCGCGTGTTCCGCGCGCCCGAGTTCAACACGCGTCTGCAGCCGGAGGTGAAGCGCCCGGTGGAGACGGTGCAGTTCGCGGCCAACTGCAGCGCGCAGGGGCGCCCCAAGCCGTCTGTCGCCTGGCTGAAGGACGGCGTCGACATCAGCACCGCCGACGGCCTCTACGACGTCAGCATCGACGAGACGGAGATGAACGACGGCGCCTTCACCGTCAGCAGCGCGCTGAACTTCCGCGGCCAGGCGCGGCAGGGCGACCGCCTGACCCCGGCCGACCGCGGCAACTACACCTGCCGCTTCGAGAACGTGGCCGGTGAAGCCGAGACCACCATGTTGCTCCGGATCAGACGTGAGTACGGGGCGAGCGCCGCCGGCGGAGCTGGGCGCCGGCACTGACGCTGAGCTGAGCTGGGCGCCGGCACTGACGCTGAGCTGAGCTGGGCGCCGGCAGCCGCTTAGGTGTCAGCGGACTGCTCTTTCTCTAGGCTTTGAACGCGGCCCGCTGTGCTGTCTTGGCATGATCTTGGTGTCCCGTTTATTCCTGCAAGGTTTTGTGTGTTGATACTGCCACCGCCCATTTCTGTTCGGCAAATTACTTGGCCGAATTTTAGGCATACACCACGCAGCTTGGGGAAGTCAGAAATGCTATTGAACTTGATACGATAAATTAGATGTTATTGCTTGATAACCATGTGAGTCACTGCCGCCTAAAATTATGGTTCTGATTTGAAAGCACGGATCTTGCATAGCTGTGTTTCAGCATTCATTAATTCGCAAGAAGCTTAGTCGGCCGTGCTGGACAGACCGACCGCAGCCGGCTTGCCCGCGCGGATTTCTCGGCGTCCTGGATTGCCCCGAGCTGCGGGCGATTACAATCGGGAACGTGCTCACTCTGTGGCGGCGAGTGGCCGTGTCTTGCACGGCCGAGCACGAGCTCGCACACCCCGGAGGGCGGCGTGCCTGCGGCCAGCGCCGACCGCACACGCCGTGCACCGAGGCAGCCGGAAGCGCGTCACACCTGCGCGACCGCCCGTCTTCCACACGGCGTGCGGCGCCGCCGGAGCTTCAGCCGCCTGTCGCTGACCTCGCCTTCCTCCCCAGACGCGCCGATCGTGAAAAACGAGTACAATATGGCGGCGTTCGACGTGGGCGAGGAGGCGACGATCGCGTGCCAGATGCAGGCGTACCCGGCGCCCGTGTTCCACTGGTCGCACCAGGGCGCGCCGCTGGCCGCCGACTCCAGTGGCTTCTACGACACCAACACCACCGAGCTGGGCAACGACGTGCACCAGTCGGTGCTGCGGCTGGCCAGCGTGCGGCTCGGCGACTACGGCGAGTACGTCTGCCAGGCGCAGAACGAGGAGGGCGAGCACAGCACCTCGCTGCGGCTGCAGGCCAAGAGCCGGCCGGACCCGCCGACCGAGCTGCGCGCGGCCGAGCTCGGCACCAGCTGGGCGCTGCTCGACTGGAGGCCCGGTTTCGATGGCGGCTACCGCGGCACCATCCACCACGTGACGCTGGTGGACGAGCGCGGCAAGGAGCGCGCCTTCGACTGCCAGACGCGCCGGCCCTGCAACGTCACCTCGCTCCAGCACCGCTCCACCTACCGCTTCAGGGTGAGTGCGCGGGCCCCGAGCGCTGGCTTGCCTGAGCTGAGGCGGGAAGCAGTGGGTGCTCATACGCTAAGAGCAACGAACAAGGCCCCTGTTTCCGTAGAGGTTTGGCGGTATGACACATATGCAGTCCCAAAGTAGCAAGCCCAAGCCGTAATGTGTGATCAGCCACGATCGTGACCCTCCTGCCAACGTCATGACACTGCCTTCCGCGCGCATGGTCGACGCAACCCCGCTCTCGACAAGCGCGCACAGGTCTGCGGTGCGACGCTGCCCGCACCGCTGCGGCACGCTTTAACGCCGCCTCTCTCATAGATCCGCGCCAACAACGAGAAAGGCAACTCAGACGACTCGCAGCAGATGCAGTTCACCACGCAGCTGGACCTGAGCCAGCTGCCGCAGCCGCAGCGCGCGCAGTTCGAGCGCGGGTCGCGTCAGCTCAGCTTCCACGTGGTCAGCTCGGCCATCGACGTGGTCGGCATGCTGGACGTCAGGTCAGTGGCCGAGCGTTAGCTGCGATGCCAGGCCTATGGGTGATATAGCTTTGTGAGGCATGTCACTCAGACTCCACTCACCTGGCAGGTGTTGTTTCATTTGCGTGCTTCGGGGCTCACGTGCCCTTCATTTTCAGCGCCATCTGACTTTTTACTACTCCGACGTGTGCAACGCTCGGACGGCATGTCAATGTCTAGAATTCAGCACGGCCATTACTCAGGCCAGCCACTGGAGCAGGCTCGTCTTCGTCGCTGCTTTCGGCGCTTCTCGCTGGTCGCAATGTATGCAGCCCGGCCGCCTGACGACGATCGGCCCCGCCTGTCGCTGACGCCCGCCCGCCCCTGGTCAGGTCTGATGAGGGCGACTGGCGGCCGGTCGAGCAGCCGGTGCCCGTCTCCAACAACCGCGGCCTGGCCGAGCTGCCGGCCGCGCTGGGCCCGGTGGCCGACGTGCGGACGCGGCTCTGCCTGCGCGGCAACACGTCCGTCTGCGGGCCGCCGGTCCAGGCCGAGAATGGTGAGCTGCCAGCGGCGGAGGCGGTCGAGGGAGGGGACGGGCGTGGCGGGGAGTGGAGGCGCGTCGGTCCCGCTTTCCGCAGCGCTTTTGAGGTACAGATCGCCCGGGGATGTGAGTGATTCCGCTGTGTCCCGGCGAATATCCCAGCGAAGACATGTATTCCGCTTCCACTATACGTGGTCGTCTTCGCCCGTGTAGTCAGGCTCGGCGTATCTGACACTGCAAGTAGGCGCTTGTTCACATGAACAACCACTATTGCCGCTGTGTGTTATGAACGCGGTGATCCCAGACCCGACGTCATCAGCACAGCCCTCTAACCGTCCTTTCCCTCGTGGTGTGCATGGTTGCGCCCTCCCAGGCAGGCCGGTGGGCCAGGTCTGCAGGCCGAGCCTGCAGACCTGCGCTCTCACGGCTCTTGCGGCCGTACACAGTCTCGGTGACAGCCCCCAGCCCGGACGATCAGCGCCTCCCAACCCGGCACACGTTGCCGACCACGCGGCCCGCCCATGTTGACGGATGTGTCTACGTCCCGCAGTGGCCGCCGGCTCCGTGCTCCCCGCTTCCCTCGGGGTGCCCGTGACGACCATCATCATCATCGTGGTCGTGGTGATCGTGCTGGTGGCGGCGCTGGTGCTGGCCTTCATCTGCTGCCGCCGCGGCAAGATGGCCAAGAAGACCAACAAGGCCTTCAATGACGATGCCTAGTAAGAAATGACGTGTTGGCTTTTGGAGGACGAAGAAGGTCTGTGTCTTGTCAGGCGACTTAAGTCTGGATGGTGGCGTGACCTTCGGACTACGGTGAAATTGGTTGCACACGACGTTTTTGCATTGGCCGAGACGAGTTCCGGCAGTTTTCGAAGCGTTTTCCTCCAACGTGCGAACAGAGAATTATCTCTGCTCTCTAATCAGCTCCATACAGCCAGGAATCACATGTGCGTGTTGCAGCCTTTCACGCCACATTGCCGGTGCAAGATGAGCGTTTGCGCCCCTGTTTCGCTGCCCAGTCGCCAGATGGTAGTGCGCCGCCAGCAGCTAACCCATCCTCTCGCGTCCGCCAGCAACCGTCAGAAACTGCCGGCGTATTATCCGCCGGGCGGCGGGCCGGACAACAAGCCGGGCGTGGACGCGACCAACCTGGCGCGGCTGAACCAGGACCCAACGAAGGTCATTTACGGCGCGCGGCCCGGGTACGAGCACAGTGCGGCCGCGCCGGAGCACGTGCCAGCCAGCACCCAGCCGCCGCCAAACGGCGCCATCAACATGGCCTACATGGAGAACAGCTACTCCAACTCCAACAACGGCGGCTCGGTCAACTCCCAAGACTCGCTGTGGCAGGTCAAGGCCGGCAACCCGGACAACCGCTCCCATGGGAACCCGGACAACCGCTCCTACAGCAACCCGGACAACCGTTCCTACGGCAACCCCGACACACGCTCCTACGGCAACCCGGACAACCGTTCCTACGGCAACCCCGACAACCGCTCATACGGCAACCCCGACACACGCTCCTACGGCAATCCGGACAACCGCTCCTACGGCAACCCGGAGGGGCGACCGTTCACGTACGACCCCAACAACTACGACCCGGCGCAAGCCAATTACCTGCCGGACCAGCCGCTGGGCTACGGCGACTACGGCCAGTTCCCGGCGCAGCAGGCGTACCCAACGGACGCGGCGTACCCGGCGCAGGACGAGTACGGCCGGCCATACGAGTCGGACCCGTACGGCGCCGTCGGCGGCCGCGGACGGCCTCACCACGCAGGTGCGTGATAGCTCGGGCTACTGTGCTGCTTGGGGCGGGCCGAGCTGCTCGGTATGTGTGTGGGGGGTGGGGAGAGGGGGGGGGGGGAGCGCTCGCTGGCGGCGGATGGGAAGATGTGGTGGGAACCATGTCGCTGGATACGCGACGAATCCTCAAAGTTATGATCATTGGTGGCCGTTTTTCGTATAATCATTTGTGGCCGTCGCCCCGTCGGCAGGCTGGGTAATGAGCGTCCTCTTTCGTTGCTGCTGCCCTCACCGAGCTTACGCTCGTACCGCGGCTGCCGTGCGGCGACGGCGGCGCTTGACGTGGCGGCGCGCCTCTGTCCGCAGACGGCGGGTACCGGGACGTGTCGGGTCTGCCCGACCCGTACGCCGACCAGGAGCCGGACAACAAGCCGCAGGTGTCGTTCGACGAGTCGTTGGAGAGCGGCTACTCGACGCCCAACTCGCGGAGTCGCCGGGTCATACGGGAGATAATTGTGTGAGGCCGGACGCTGCGCTAGCACCAGTGAGCCCCGCCGCGGAGGCCCAGGGCGGGGCCGAGCCGCCGCCGAGGCGCCCGGCCCTCCCCGGAGCCGCAGCGAGTCGCGTTGCGAGGCGGCCCGGGGCCCCGGCCCCGACCAGGCCCCTTCGCTGTGATAATCGGCCCCGGAGGCCTCTTCCCACGCGCATGGCCGGCCAGTCATTGTGATAGTAGTTCTGACTGCTCAAAGCTAGGACTTGCATCAGACGTGGAGCCGTAGCAGAGTGGCGAGCGCGCAGCGAGATATTCGCACGTTCATAGCATCGCAGGGCGTTGCGTTGATACTTGGAAAGGTCACATTTGTGGATGCGAGAAGAATGGCTGGTTTGATGTCCGAATGTTCGCACTTGACGCCGCGACCAAATGATGCAAACACTTGACTCAGTGTCATAGGGCAGCAACATGCAGTGTGAGTGGGCCGATCATGGGTGCAAGTACGAATGAAACGCATGACGGAAGGAAATCTCCGCGAGAGAGAATATTAGCGTTTATGTAAGGGTTTGCTGTTGGAAAGCGACTCTTTCCGCGGGCCAACGTACTTAAAGTGTACCTCCCTGAAGCGCCAACATGCGTCTGCAGTCTTATGTCGTGACCAGTGTTCGCAAATGCTTCATCGCCACGAATCGAGTGGTGCGTGCCTTCCTTTTGGCGGTCGTCGCAACTTCCTCACGTGTCCTGTACATATCCATGCGACCGGCGTGCGTGCAAGCGTGCCTGGGCAGGCACCCTGTCCGCACTCGGAGGTGCCATGTGCCAAGGGTCCGGTCGGCCGCGTGCTCGGCGCGCTCTTCTGTCGGGCGTGGCCGACTTCCGCCCAGATGCCTGCGATCTCAGACATTGAGGCGACTGCGGCGACCCACTGACGCCGCACTGAGCAGCTGCGGCCTCCCTCGGCGCCGCTCGGAGCACAGCGCTGCTCTACCGCAGGCTGCCGCGCTGATGCTGAACTGCCAGCTGCCGTCCGCCGACACTGTACTGTGCGTGGGACGGTGGTGCATTGCCGACTTGTTGTGAATACATTCTATTGTTAAGAGTATGTGCGATGCTTTCATGTGCCGCTTCGATGTCTAACGGGAATACACAGTAGAATACTGATGCTTGCTGCACTGGCGGAGGCAAAACGAAGTCGCTGAGTGACAAGGGCTTGATTTCCGCGGAAAAGGATGATGGGGACGCTTCTTCTGCACGCCGAGTGTTTGACGGGCCTGACTTTTTCACTCCTTCGCCCGAGATGATGTCACTACGCGGATCTAACAAGTGCGATATCCACATGGAATTCATGTGTACCAATGACATTCATAACTGAAATGTGAATGCAGCCCTCTCAGACCCCGTTGTGGCCAATTATCACATGGCTCGTGGGACCGAGCTGCAGAATGTTTGCTGCAGGATTGCTAAAAGGTATTGCAGCAGGTGGCGCTGGCATATACATCTCCAGCTGGTGCTGAGATTGCATAGTTTTTCTCACGGACCCCTGTCTACACAACCGCGACGGAAACTTCAGTTACGCTCTTGGTCGCCTTTTGCTTATATATTCATGCCGGTGTTCAGTGGAAGCTCAGAAGTCAAGTCTGTAACAGCGAAACATCGGGCTCGAAACAGTTGACTGCTCACCACCAACCATAAAAACGCGTGGCCAAGACGAAAGGTTTCGATGACCAGGATAAGCATTCGGGCAGCTCTCACCATAGAATTGCATATTTTGTGTCAGGGTGTGAGACCTTGAATGACTTTAATATTCGTGATGGTCGTGCAATGGTCGCGGTTTGCGATAGTTTGTTATTTACGAGTTTGCGTTGCATAAATAGGCGACAAATTTCATGCACGGTATGGGTCATCGTAGTGTGTTCCGGTGTCATGACGTGAGAATTTGAATAACTCAGTATTTTGATGTGTATATCATGCAGTATTTGCACAGATTCAGAGTGTTCTCTGCATTGCACGTTTTAGTTATTGCATGATATTTTGCGCAAAATTTTACATAAGCGTGATTATGGGCGTGGCTACCAAAGGTTGAGTTGCCATAACAACCGATCCTTGCTTGACAACGTCGTTTAAACAGAACCTCCCGGTATATTGAAATCCAACTAGTTTCAGCATACACTTTGTAAACTCATAACGCCGCATAAACAGGCCTTCAAAGCATTTCACCATGACACCCAGCATGACTGCACAACATCGCGCTACGCGTCCGAGTCCAAGCAGATAACTTGTTATAACCATGAGTTAGCCACCTATCGGAAACCAAAATTCCTATTGCAGGCGAACCAGGCTTTCGTGAACGACCCCTGTGCTTCCCTGCAAACGACCACAGAGCCAATATCTAGACAAGCCAATGAGTAGTTGGCTAGATAAACACACACGCTACCTCAGACCATAACCAGGCCCTGAGCGCCACGGGCGCCGATCGATTCACCACTAGAGCACCGCGCAATGTCTTCAAGGCCTCTGATGCATGTGCATGCATATGCTTGCGCTTCTGCATTCATGCCACAGAAAGAATCCTGCCAATTTTCCTCAATTCATGATGGTCTGCTATCACAATTTTCCCTTCCGAGGAGTGGGAGGCTTTCGTTTGCCGCACATACCGCGCATTTTGGTAAACAACGCGCATCCGCGTTGAAGGTGATGAAGGCCTGGTGCAGGATGTCCCCTTTAAGGCATCCGAAGCTGCTCCAGTATCCAGTCGGTGTAGTCCAGGACTCTGGTGTAGCCCGCGAGCTTGCCGCATTCGCCCGTGCCGAACGACGAAATGCCCGTTTGGTACCACCGGACGCCCTGTCGCACTGCGGCGCACCAGTTGGACGCGGTGAATGACAGAAATTAGGCACAACGGAAACACTGAGCTTCCAAACACATGTAGACCAGTGGAATGCTGCCTTTTGAGGCAGTGTTGAAACAAGAAGGCGCATCGCTGTGGCCGGTGAATAGTATTACATCAGTGACATTGTCTTGGCAGCATGGAATGGAATGGGTTCCTGACGCCTATCCCAGCGCCGAAAAGTGCGCGGACCCTATCACCTACCTGGCACCATGGGGTGACACAGATCGCCGAGACTAAGTTGACACACAGTACTGTTGTAAGACGGTTCCCGAAAGGGAGACATAGATCCCTAAGTGTACAGTCCACAGCCAATGCGCCCAGTTAAAGGTATTGTAATTTTTTATATTTGGTATAATAAAGAACTGAATAAGTTCCAGAACTGGGTAGATCAGCTCAGTGACAATACAATGACGACATCACTAATGACTTAATCTGTGCGAAAAAAAAACAGTACAAAATGCGTGATGATGCTATCGAATGCTTTCTGCACCACCAGCTGACGTAATGCCGTCCGTGAGTCCGACACCATTGCTATATTCACTCCCACTCACCGCTCTGCTCCGGCCAGCTTTGAAACACTACGGTCACTTCGATTCAAAGCACAAACGCTACACGACACCCGCACGGACTACACCCGCATCATACCCACAGCTCACCTACAGCTTCAGCCAAAGTGAAGAAACAAGCATTTTAATATCATAATGCTGAGATTTACCCATAACATTGCTGTGTAATTAGAAAACGCTTTTTGCTCTGATATTAATGAAGCCGAGCGTTTCACACTTGCTGTTTTCACGATGAAGTAATGCTATGAAAAGTTTAAAAATATTAATGTGTGTACAAAGTTTTAGTATACAAATACTTTGACAAGAACAAGATTGTCGACAAATTTTCATTAACATGGAATAGGTAAACCATTAAGAGTAACTAAGGATAAGGTTGTTATATAAAACAGGGCCGTTTAAAGATATTTCTTCAGCCCATTCCTGTACCCCACCAAATTTCTAGGTAAACACTAGGTTTAGCAATCAGCAATGTGAATCTGTCAAGGGTGATAGGTGCTGACTGCGCCATTATTGTTTACATCGGTGCTGGCTGTGTGGGGCAAAGCGGGCTTTAAGGATCATACCATTCAAGGATCAGTCATCTTGGATCTTCCAAAGGTATGAGAGCCTTGTTAGCTCTGAAAGAAATGTAAGCAGGCTCTGTTAGTACCGCATGTAGTCTATGTATGTACTGCATACCTATGGTCAAGGACGTTGCAGGGACGTGAGTTTATTTTGTCGCGTCTGCGTCAGAGACGCAACCGAATGTGTTAGTGAGTTTTGAAAAGTTTGGGTGGGAAGAGATCTGACATCATACCTGTTAATAAAAACATGATCTCGCTCGTAGCCAACTAACCGCAATTTTATTAGGTTTGCCTTTACAAATTTGTTTTTAAATCTTTACGAAACACTTCTAGCCGAAAATCGCCATAAAAGATAGGTGAGTAGGACATTAACACCTTTTTTATTTTTGAAAGCTTTAAGCCTTAATCCTTCGTGAAAACCACCAGTTTGGTAATTGACAACAATATGAAACAAACAATTTTCTTTAATTTGCATTGGGGACTGCGTAGGCTCCGACCAAGGCCCTATAATAAAGCTCCGACGATACAACATACCAAGCCAGTAGATTTCACAAGCAAAGGAGTAGCTGCAATGCTGCTGTGATTTATTTGCAGTTGAAAGGCGCAAGACACCGTATGACATTGTAGAAAAGCAGCACGTAAAGTCTCCTTAAAGTTGCCAATGCTTAAGTGTTTATCATCGATCCCGTAATGTGTCGCTACATCGCGATTAGCAAAACTTTATTAATTCCTGAATCAATGCGCTTTGCTTTGAGCACACCCGCGGTCGCTTCTTTAGCACATTTTGTGTGCATCCTACACACACCTTAGGATACCCAGGCCTTTAGTGTATACAACCGAGTCTTGTGCGTCAGATGCCAATCCATTGTTCCGAAGCTCCCACCGTCCTTGTCTTGCCCCTCTCGCATCTCTGCATGACGTATATCTCAAAGCGCCTCCTCACCTTAGCTTGGACCGCCCATCTACCTAGGTCTGAAGTTCTCGTATTCATGGCAAGAGCACTCACTCCTGATGCTGTATTTGCTACTCATTTCCTTTATTTTACTTCTGTACTATACATTCCGGTCTAGTCTCCCCTGCCTTTAGGATATCAGGACGCCGCTTTAGGAGTTCCTAGGGCATTTCAGCACTCTAGCTCCCTTCTTTCAGTAGGTCTTCAAGGTGCTTATTCAGCTACCGCCAAACTCGTAGATGAACTAGTCTTGTATCTATGAACATAAACTGTGAAATTTCTGAATTTCGCCCAATTATCGGTGCTTATGACACCACTCATCTAGGCTTCTGTATCCCCGCCTCTGTTTGAGTTTAAAATCTTATACGGCTTGAGCCAAAAGTGGATTCTAGGATCCCGAAAACGCAGAACCTTACGGGATCCGGAATTGGGGTCCAAGAACATGTCTGATTAGAAAACAACCTACCCTGGCTTGGAGAAATCGTTTAAGGCCGTTGATATGCCTTCGTTTGTGCGCACCTGTCCCTAAGAATGTGGGCGCCAATCCTCCGACGGTTATGGACTCTTAACTTATGTCAGGTGTTCCTGTCTACCCGGGGACCAGGTGGCCCAACTGGTCCCGAAATGCTATAACCTTGGATTTTTTTAGTGCTCCTCCATCTGGGCTTGAGGTGCAGCTCGACATGCCCATTCGGCACCTGACGACCTGCGCTTGTTCAAGCTTTTGCACTTAGATTAAGAGACACTTTCACATACGCATAGAATGCTCCTAAAAACATGCTAATCGACATCACTCTGCCTGCACTTAGCGGCGCCTTTTTTCTTTGGACCTGAAGGCACCTGCAGTTAGATTTGGAACTTCAACTTCCTCCACGGTTGGCGTGCCTCCGCGATAAACATCACGGCCCTTGCCTCTTCAATCGTTTGTTGGCGCTCCTCTACCTGAATTTGCAGGCACCTTTCTATTGGGGCTGGGGGAGAACCTGCACTTGGACTTAAGGTCCCTTGGCTTTCTATAAGCTGGGAAGAACTCTTTTGCTTTGACGTGCAGCGTTCCTCAGCTGAGACGGCCTCCTCCACTACAGGTAGGAGCACCACTGTTCTTGGAGCCCGAAGAACCTCTCTATCTGTGGTTAGGCCAGCTCTGTCCAAGTTGTAGATATGAAGTTATCGCAGACTGGGCGGGGGGGGGGGGGCACTCTACATAGGCCTGGGGCTCTGTGGGTTAAGTGGGTTAAGAGCGTCCCTACATCTGGGGTTAACGTCCCCATTCGACCCGGATTTAGGGGACCCATTCTGCTTGGTTTGTACGACACACTTAGCTTAGCTACCTGTAACAGGGGCGTCTGAAGGAATACGGACCTAATACCATGCTGGCTTAATGGGTAATGCGCGTTCCCAACACCAGCATGCAGCGTGGATTACTACAAATCCTTGGCAACAGCTTGACACAGCAGGTAGCAGCACCAACCTGGCGGCACAAAGTCATATGAGTCCATGCACCCACCTGGCACCATGAGGGGGCCGCCAGAGTCACCACGGCACGTGTCAGAGCTGTTGGGGCCGGCTCCAGCGCAGATGCGTCCCTCCAGGCCCAACTCCTCGAAATCGAAGTCTCTCTCGCAGCTGGTTAGAGGTCGCACCGGTAACGTTGCCGTTTGGAGAATAGCAGTGAAGTCATTCTGGCCGCCTGCGGGTACACCACGCCAAGCGCAGTGAACGGTAGCCATTGGCCCCTGGCTTACGTGCCGGCAGCTGGAGGTACATACACATCGCCCACTGCCACTGGTGTGTCATCTGTGATGCAGTCAATGTAAGGCAAGTTCGTGCTGGTCAATGGGCAGCCGAGGGTGCCTGAGAAACAGATAAATAATTTCACGAGACATGAAATACAAAGTATTTGGCGATCTGACGGACTTTCGCCAGGTGCTACCTGACAGATCTGACCAATATGTGGGCTGACCAGCCGCTTATCTCACCCCTGACCAAGCTGACGACCAATCTATCTCGTTCTAGCCCCAGCTGACCACTCAATGATGTCACTTCCTCCCATCTGACGACCTCCACTCACTCTACCCTAGACAACTGACCCTCACCCATCTCACTCATTCCCCAGCTGACAATTCACCGATCTCACTCCCGCCCTAGCTGACCACTCACCGATCTCACTCCTTCCCCGGCTGACCGCTCACCAATCTCACTCCTGTCTCGGCTGGCCACTCACCGATCTCACTCCTTCCCCAGC